GATTGAATTGGATGTTCATGATAAAACACTCTTCTCTCCATGGGTAAAATAATAGAACTCAATTGTCTTTTTTACCACACAAAATGGAAGTGTTAGGAAGAAGACAAGGGAGAGGCAGGAATGAAGGCACTAAGATTTACTTAGATTGAAGTTGATATCTCAGAAACATATTGGAGGACATTTTTAATCAGACAAACACAGATGAGGACAGAATAATAATGCAGCTGCTGTCCTCCATGGTAAGCAGTGTGACTGCAAGGATGTTGGAGATCCTGTTGCTATGGTAACAGCAGCAGCAGCCTTCCACTATAGACATCATCCAAAAGGACACTCCTCTTCATATGTGCGTATATAATAAAATTGCATTTATCTAAATATATTTATATGGTTCATATACATGTAATATATAATAATATATGTATAATATATTATATATAATGTATAATAAGGTTTTTAAAATAAGATATTCAAAACTGGCTTCTCCATTGTGGTGTATAATGAAGCCAATGAATTTCTTTAATAAACTAATATAAGAAAGATATTTTAATATGAAAGGTTGCAATTTGTTTAGAATTTTGAAGAGTATTTCATATGACTTGTGTCTAATAATTAGATAAATATATTTTTATGAATTTTGCCACAATTACTGAAAAATCCCATCTTTCAGATAAGTGTATAATTAGATTTTTTTGCTCTTCAGCCAAAAGAAGCTAGCTTATTTACATGTGTTAATTACTATTTCTCCCCAGCATTAGCTAAATTTCTGTTTAGTAGATTTTTTTTTTACATTGGTTTAGTTAACAATCTGGGACAAAAGAAATACACATCAATTTTTTTTTTACACCAGTCTTTGCCAGTTGACTATCTATCTGCATGGTGTAAAGGGGGTTGGTATTCAGGGGTAAGTGGTATTGAGTGGTCTCTGATGTGCTTTCCAACACTGGCAGTTTGTGATTCTGGTGTAATAGGGGTTTGAGAACTGACTGACATGCTAGGATTTGTAGTACAAAGTGACATGCATTCCCTCACAGTTCCGAGAAAGATTCTGGACAGCTATAATCTTTGAGCTGAAAGGTGGACTTCAGTCATGTCCAGGATGTTTTAGAAGGACATAAACAATTTGTGAGAGTTAGATAGACTGAGAGGAATGAGCAGGGATTGCAAGAGCCAAGTAGCAATACCAACAGTGGTCAGATGGAGTCCCAGACTTCCATGGGACTTAATGAATTGGGTGGGAAGCAATCAATAGCAAAGGGGCAAAATTAAAAGGAAAAACTAAAAAGAAGATGCTGAAAGACTGAACTGTGGCAGAGAAGGAAGGGATTGAGATAGGCCAATGAGTCCTGCAAGCATTTCATAACAGGACTTAAACTAAAGTCTCAGTTACACTCAACTTTTCAAGGACTGAGGGAAGTTCCCCCAAAAGGGCTGATTTTACCCCCCAACTTTCCCTCCTTAAGTCTGACCAGTAACAAATACTGTAATATACTCTGCTGTCTTCTTTTACCTAAATGTTTCCTGTATCCTGACCCTAAACACACAAAAAGGCCAGGGGTTAGCTAGAGATATATAACATTAAATTTGGGCAAAGAGCCAAACCTGTCTGTCTGCATGTTAGAAATTTTCCTAAATGGGGGCTTCAATTTCTTGTGATTGAATAAGTTTTCTACTGATATACACTTCATAAAATGGAGAGAGGAAATGTATGCTAATAGCAACAACAACAATAATTTATAATCATAATAATGATAGCTAGCATTTATACAGCACTCTAAGGTTTGCAAAATGCTTTACATACATTATCTGAGAGTGAGATAATTGTTGCAATTAGGGTGTGGCTGATTAAATCTCCAGAAAGGAAATAGGAAGCAGAAGGTGATATCTGGAGAAAAAAAATTATGTTGTAAAACATCCTTCTGGGAGGAGACAGGAAAGAAGAGGGAAAGATTCAGTCCTGCTCCTATCTAGTAGAGTAGAGGAAGCAAACTGATGGCTAACTCTATCCTCCACTGTGACAATCACCAGTATTATGCTGGGATTTTATATCAAGGTTGTTTTACGATCAATTTTTTCATTGCTAAATATGAACTTACATTAATGGGATTTTACATCAATGCTGTTTTAAAATTAATTCATTAATTGCTAAATATAAACATACCTAAATCTTCCGCATCTTAAAAACAAACAAAAAACACTTCACTTGACCCTACCATCCCCTCAAGGTGTCATTCCTCTCTTCCTTCAAGATGCAGCTCAAACATCACCTTTTATATGGAGTTTTTTCTGATCATCCTAATTGCTCTCTCTCCAATCACCTCATATTTATGAACTATTTTTAATTTACTCTGTATGTAATTACATATGTGTTCATACGTATAAACATACATATTTGCGTGTGTTGTCTGTTCTGATAGTGTATAAGCTTCTTGAGAACTGGGATTTTTCTTTTCCTTTTTTCTCTTTGTGCAATTGATATTTTTATACTATTTAAAATTTTTTTCTATTTTAAAAAATATGCATCCATAGCATCTAGCACAGCACCCGGCACATAGCAGGCACTTAATAAGTGCTTGTGGATTGGGTGATTAGCCATTGTTTTGCTCATTTCATAGACAGAACTACACATAACCTTGTTCTTTATTGTTTTTCCAACAGGGGGAGCCTGAATACATAGAATTTTTTCAAGAGTCACATGACAGTTCATTCTCAAAATAGAGTCCTGGTTTGTGCTTCTCATGGAAGGGACATCCATAAAGAATAATCATTTTGGCTTTTTAGATCAACATACTTTTTGAGGGAAAAAATACATTTCAAGGCCCAGAAATTTTTTTAATGGAACTATTACTAAATGCTAGATTATATGAAATGAGAAATGGATGTTGAAAGCTTGTGTTTTATTCTTCATGGTGGGACTCTAAAATGATGAAACTGTTCTGACTCACGGGCAAGTTGGAGGCTTGTCCTGTCTGGACAAATCTAATAGCTATGCTATGTCTATGCTATAATTTAAAATGTGAGCAACAGATGATAGAGTGTTTGATTATAGCACATAGGAACAGAGAATGTCTGACTTCTCTTAAAATAGGGGTTTGTGAACTTTTTTGTGTCATGGACCCCTTTGGTATTCTAAAGACACCTTTCAAAATAATGTTTTGTTGCCCAAATTCATAACTGAATGAAAATTCACACACATTCATAACTGAAAGAAGTGTTATGTTTCATTTGGATGTTACTGAAAATAAAAGATAATTTTTTATTCCGTTCAAGTTCATGGACCACATGAAGGCTATTCATGGTTAAGAACTGATTAGGAAGTACTGACTTAGAGAAACTTTCAATTGTGGTGATTGCAGAAGGAACGATGCTCATGAGATTGTAAGATGTGAACATGGCACCTATGACATATAGTGGCAAAACAGAGTCTACAATGTTCATTTTAGTTGTTATCATTGCTGTCTCCACAGTCGTTTCAAACTCCCAGTCTTTATGCTGTATTTTAATGAAGTATCAGCTTAGAGTGACCATTAGTTTGGCATTCTAAATCCCTATTTAGGCATTGTTTAATTAAGAAGATAAGAATAGAGGGGCAGCTAGGTAGGTGGTCCAGGGGATAGAGCACTGGTCCTGGAGTAAGGAAGACCTGAGCTCAAATCTGGCCTCAGACACTTACTAGCTGTTTGACCCTGGGCATGTCACTTAACCCTGACTGTCTCAAAAAAAACCCAAACAACCAAAACGAAAAACAAAACCATTCATTGTTTTGTCTTTTCTCTTCTAGATCTGGGACATAAGGGTTAAGATGCAACTCAAATCAACACATATTTAAGGGAGCAATACTTCAAAATTTAATAAGTGATTTTGTCTGAGTGGCTTCTTCCTCCGTTGACACAGAGGGAAAATGCTCTCTTGGTAGATGATTGTTTTGAGCTTCTGTGGTCAAACAGCTCATCACTTGGTGGCCAACATGATGATGAGCCTTTCCCAATTTAGCTAGGGTGGGTCACAGATAGCAGACACACAGAACATCACTGGGATCATCTTTGGAGATGTTTCAGCTTTGTAGAACCTGCCAAAGCTTGCTCCCTGCTGGCATATATAGCTTTCAAAATCCCAAGTTCATTTCCACACTTCCTATACAACAACTCTTCAGTCGTGTGATTCTGTAAATCAAAACTCCCTTCCTGGTCTCCACTTTCCTTTATCTATACATTCTTCTATTCTCTCCTCCTTTTTGTTTTTGTATTCTCAATACTTGGCACAGTGTCTGGCACATGGTAATCAGTTAATAAATGCTTTTTCATTCATTTGACTTATTCATATGTGATATTACTAGCTTCAAGTACCTATTGTTTTTATTTCCCTGTGCTAGGCACTTCCTTCAATACTTCACATACTGTTGTTGTGGGTGCTTCTTCTGTACAGACTGCAATTCCTCTACAATTCAGTGGATAGGCTTTGAGAGTGACTGAAAAATTGGTAATCTAGTAGCCAATCAGGTAAAGGGCCTCTCTGAGCTTAGCTAGCCTAGCTAATTCAATTCAACAAGCATTTATTCAGTGTAGGCACTAATGTTCTAGGCAGTAGGGATACAAAGGCGAAAAGGAAATGGTTCCTGCCCTCCAAGAGCTTATATTCTAGCAGGAAGATAATGAGAAGAGATATGAGGTGTTTTTGCAGAGGTGGATGGAGGGCATTGTAGAATGTATGACTTATTCAATGTACCTGTTAATTTTGCTGAACTATTACCCCCCCCTCCTCTTTTATATTCTTTGTTATAAGGAATGGCTATTGAGGATGGGCATATACTGGGAACTATAGGTGATATAAAAACAAAACAAAATAAAACCAAAAGAAATAAAAATAAATTTATTTTAAAAATTAAACAAACTGGAAAAATACCCCAAACATCCCCCCCCAAAATATACTTCTAGAAGAGTTATAGAGTTATCAGCCATTTGTGATTTAATGTGAATAACTTTAATACATTTCTTTCCTCCTAGCACCACCTGAGATCAAGGACCCTGAGAAGATGAGGGCTTTGACTAAAGCAAAAGTAAGTAAGTAAATTTGGAGGACAGGGCATTTTGGTGGGCAAGTAAGGCCAGTTAATTCCTTCCTCTTTTTTGTAGGTGGCGGGTCCGACTGGAACTAGAGAAGTCATCAGTCTGTCAAAGATATCGTCCCCCTGAATGTAATGGTTATGTGGTAAGTGCTACTGCCACACAATTGGCTGCAATAATGACTCAAAAATAAATCAAGGAGATAAGTAGAGGCAAAGAAAAAACAATATTGTGACTTTTTGCCGATGATATGATGGTGCACTTAGAGAACCCTAGAGGTTAAACTAAAATGAATCGAAATTATGACTTTAGCAAAGTAGCAGGATAGAAAACAAACCCATACAACTCATCAGGCTTTGTGTTTCTTACAAACAGAACTCATCAAGAAAAGATAGGAAGAGAAATTCCATTTAAAAAAACTACATCATGTGTATAGTATTTGGGAACCCACATACCAAGACATATAGGAATGACAGGTGCAAATACAAAACATTCTTTCTAGAAATAAAGACAAAATTAAGTAATTGAGAGACACGTTCATGGCTGGGCCATGCCAGTATAATAAAAATGACAATACTACCTAAATAATTTAGCTATTTAATGCCACATCAATCAAACTACCAAAAGATTACTTGTAGAACTAGAAAAACTAATAACATATCTCATCTGGAGGAACAAAAGGTCAAGGATCTCAAAGGAAATGAAATAAGGAAGTGGGTTTAGGAAGCCTAGCAGTAGCTAGATCTCAAAGCAGTATACTACAAAGTAGTAATCATCAAAATTATTTGGTACTGGTTAAAAAAATAGAAAAGTTGATGATTGGAACAAATTAGACATATAAGAAACATAAGTAAATAAATATAGTGGCATAAACTTCAATAAACTTAAGGACCCCAACTACTGCCATAAGGACTCATTCAACAAAAACTGAGGAAAAACTGGAAAGTAGGCTGGCAGAAATTAGGTTTAAACAAACATCTCATTTAACAAGCTTTAGAGTGGAAACATGACCTAGACCTAATAAATCACATCATAAATAAATTAGGGTAGCAGAGTAGTAGATACTTTTCGCAATAATGGATAGGGGAAGAGTTCTTGTCTAAACAAGGCATGGAGAGGGTCATAAGAAGTGAAATGGCCAATTTTGATTCTATAAAATTGAGAAGCTTTTGCACAAGCAAAATCAGTGCAGTTAAAATTAGAAGGGAAATGGCTAATTGAGAAAAATGTCTGTAACAAGATTTTCTAATAAAAGCCTGCTATGTGAGATATATAGAAAAGAGATTCAAATACAGGGTCTCCGGTATTTAAACTTTAACAGCCTGGGGGCAGCTAGGTGGCATAGTGGATAGAGTACCCCCCTGGAGTCAGGAGGACCTGAGTTCGAGACTGGCTTCAGACATTTGACACTAGCTGTGTGACCCTGGGCAAATCACTTAACCCCAATTGCCTCACAAAAAGAAAAAAAGAAACTTCAGTAGCCTAAAACTGAACTAATACTTTTGTAATACCTTGTACATTAGGAACAAGAGTCATTTCTCAATAGATAAATGATTAAAGGATATAAACAGGTAATTCTCAAAAGAAAAAAGACAAGCTAACAGCAACCATATGAAAGATATTCCAAATCACTAGTAATAAGAGAAATGCAAATTAGAATAACACTGAGGTTCCCTCACATACTTCACACACATCAGATTAACAAAGATGACAAAAAAGGAAAATAGCAATTGTTGGAGGGAATTTGGGAGGGCAGGCACACTAATTCGTAGGTGGAACTATGAACTAGTTTAGCCATTCTGAGAAACAATTTGGAACTACACCTCCAGTCACTAAATGTTGCATACTATTTGACCCAGAAGTACCACTATTTGGGACTACTTGGCCTATGCCCCAGTGAAATCAAAGAAAGTAGAAAAAGACCTACATGTATAAGAATATTCATAGAGATGCTTTTTGTTCTAGCAAAACCCTGCAAATTAAGGAAAGGGACTCATCAATTGGAGAATGGCAACAAATTACGATCTGTAAATGTAATAGAATATTATTATACCATAAGAAATGATGAAAGGGAAGGGTTCAGAGGAAACTGGAAAGACTTATATGAACTAATGCAGAGTGAAATGACCAGTTCTAGAAGAATGATGCATACAATGACTACAACATTGGCAAGAAAAGCAACTTTGAAAGACTTAAATACAACCATGACCCCAGAAAACAGATGATGAAGCAGTCTTTCTACCTCCCAAACAAGAGATAATAGACTAAAAGTGCAGATTGAGACACACATTTTCAGACATGACCAATGTGTGAATTTATTTTCATTTATTATGCTATTTGTTATAAAGGAGATATAAATAATATGTTGACAATTTAGAGACTGAGACTTAATTCTACCTAGTTCCATATTCCAACTATGAGAACATAGTATTGCCTGCCCTGTGTATAGTGCATTTACTATTCTATAAAATGGAAGTTCTAGAATAGATGATGAAACATATCTTCCTTCTCTCAGCAGAGAACTAAGCAGTGGGAACTACAGGTATGAAATGTTGCATACACTGCTGGATACAGTTGCTGAGTCATTTATTTTGGTTTTATTTTTATCTGTATCTGTCTGTCTGTCTATTTTTATTTTTTAATTTTTTACAAGGGAGGGTTCAAAGGCTCACTTTGGTGTATGTTGGGAGGAGAAGGTACATCAGGAAATGACTCTAGTATAATAAACAAAAAGTATCAATACAACTTCAAAAAAATTAAGCGAATCTCTTTGACATCTAGAAGCAAAGACTTAACTGAAACTTAGAATTGCTCTGTAGCAAAGAGGGAGCAGGAATCTAAATAAACCTCCAAGAGCATTCATTACTTTATGATGTCAGTTGTAGCTGAAACTAGGGAAAAAGTGGTCACTACATTACTAAATGACATAGGAAACTGCAATGCAGTTATACTTTGCCGTGGCAACTTCTCAGCAAAAAGAGTAAGAGAGATTCAAATGATGTCATTTTACATAAAATTGAATTTGCTAGACCTGCAGCCCATTGACATGACTATACAGTGTTGTTGAGAGGCAGGGATGACAGAGAAATGATAACAATACCATCGAACAATCTTTACAATTTTTTTCCTCTAAAGCATTTGTACTTATTCAAATTCATTTAAGCCTCATAACCCTGGGACACAGACTTGGCAGGCATTATGATCCTTATTTTATAAAAGAGGAAATTAAATTCAACAACTATTTATTAAGTAACTACTATGTTCAGGAGACTGGGGATACAAAAAGAAAATTAAAAGTGCTTCCTTCTAAGGAGCTTACATTCTCCTGGGATGACATACGTGTAAGAGTGAAAGCTCTTTGAGAATAGGGATTATTTCATTCTTTGTCCTTTTAGCCATAGTGCTTTACATATTGTAGGTACTTAATAAATACTTGGGACACTCAGCCTCCTAAACTCTGACCATTGACCTCCCTGGCTTCCTTTAAGTCCCAACTAAAATCCCAACTTCTACAGGAAGCCTTCTCCAATCCCTCTTAATTCTAGTACCTTTCCTCTTTTAATTATTTCTTATTTATCCTGTATATAGCTAGCTTTGTATCTATTTGTTTGCATGTTGTCTCCTCCATTACATTGCATGCAGTAGATAGTAAGCTCCTTGAAGGCAGGGACTGTATTTTGCCTCTTTTCATATCTCCTGAGCTTAGGACAGTGCCTGGTATATAGTAGGCACTTAATAAATCTTTATTGATTATAATTGACTTGTTGATTGATTAAAGAAACAGGTACACAGATAAGTATTCACAAAATATATAGAATAATTCTGGGAAGTGGAGGAGAGCACTCCCAGGAAGGGCCTCATGTAAGAGATGATACTTAAGATGAGCCTAAAAGGGAACTAGGGATGACAAACAGTGGAGATGAGGAAGGAGAGTTTTCTAAGCATGGAGGATAGTTTGTGCTGAGTAGGAAGATAGAAGATGGAATGTCCTCTGTGACCAATTTCAAGCAGGCTAGGTTGGCTGGTTTATAAAGAAGTTTAGGGGAGACAAATGAAATCGGGGCTAGAAATAGAGGAAGGAGACAAACTGTGAAGGCTTTTAAATGCCTTCTCTCCCCCGCCAAAGAAACCCCCGCAACAAATGGAATCCAGACCATTTAAGTGACCTTCTTAAAGTTGAACAATTCAGCGCAAAGCCAGGACTATTACTCAGGTCGTTTGCCTGATAGATTAGTACTCTTTCTACTCATTTATAAGTTGCAGCTTCCATTATAATTAGATAATGACAAATCAGATAGGTAAACCTTTCCACAGGGCACAGATGTGTACCTAGATTATATGTAAGGCAGAAAGAATTTTGGAGAAAGTACTCTTTCTGAAAATAAATGTTCTTTTGTGACAGATACAGTCAAGCATGAAATGTTCAAGCATAGATTTTCTAGGTTAATACTCTATTCAAACAATTGAGCTAAATAACAGTTTTCCCTTGGAGGGAACTATAAGCTGCAATCACATCCAATGTCAAGCAAAGGTCTATAAACGAGCAGAAAGAAGCACCATTCCTGACTCATTAGGCAATGTATTTGTTTCACCACATCTCACTGCATGGTTTTGCAATATCCAGGAGCTGTGCAACTGCCATGATCCATGAGGACACACAGATCAAGAACTATTTGAGGGACAAGGATATGTATTTGTATTTGTTGTATTTTGCTTCAAGAAACATCAACCAAGTGGGACGGTTTCAAAATAATTTTAAATATTTTTCTACAGAAAAGCAATTCTTCACACATTCACCGGCTTCTGTCTTGCATTATAGGCTACAATCGTCTCTTGCAGCGCCGTTCCCATGGCAACAGAACATAGGTGCCATCTTTTAAGTGTGTGGCGTTTTTTTTTTCTTCTGAACTCCCAGCACATCTCTGTTTGTTCCCCTTTTTTGACACAGTTATTTACACCAAATGGAGATAGTCAATAACAATCATTCAGACTAAAAGGAGTGGAAATTGACAGGCACAAACAACATGGTACTCAGTGTCCTAACTTATATGCCACAATGTGTCCTTGGCTTTTTATTCCACTTTGCATGGAAAAATCTCAGCCCTGAATTGCAAGCAGGGAAAAACTCAATATACAACATGCATAATTAATTCTCTACAGGAGTTGAATCTGAAAGTGCAGGCACTGGAGACAGTAATTGTGCTACAAAGTTATGCACTGCAATCTTCTGGATATGTCATTTTTCCCTATTGGGGATTGTTTATTTTTTAATCTTTGATTCACATTGTTTCACAAGGAAAAAATTTGCTTATGAACTCTATCCGTCTGCTTGGATCTCTGTGGATTTTGCACATTTTGACTTTAGGATATTTTGTTCAATCTAAATGTTAAAGCAGTCACACATGAAAGAGCTGTTCTGAGATCAGCCCCTAGCAACATCCCTCATCTTGCTCAGCAAGACCTATTGAGTCCTTCCAAGGGTGTGGGCAAGTAATAAAAAGCCTTTTTTCCCCCAAACCATGATGGAGACTTGTCTAGATCTTTTCCTAGGTATTCTTTGCCTGTGGCAAAATCTGAACTGTGTTCCTTAACTTTTCAAATTCAACCCTACCCAACCCCGAAGCTTTCTCCAATCAAAAGTCATGGGCTCATGGGGTGGAGGGCATAAATTAAGGGACGTATAATTTAAAAAATCGAATTTAGGGTAAAAAAAAAGAAAAACAAAGATCTGCTTATCTGCATGTAGCTTTACCATAGGAAACAATTCAATAAATACAATAATATAAATCTACTTCATTTATTATAGTCAATTCAATGAAATTTGATAAACATTTATTCAAGGGGACTGGCCAGTAGGGCTCAGTCCTTGGAGCTTATTGCAGAGGCTTAGGAACCTGCTTCCAGATATGCGGGGATGATGCACATAGACCCTGACCCTAATTTGCACAAAGACAATAGTCTTTAACTGATTGCTATTACATTCTACAGAACTATCCAAGTCTCTTTTTATTTCTCTTTTTCTGCATGTGTGAACTTCTTTATGAGAGGTGGTTTGTTGTAATGGTTAGAAAGGAGACTGAAGAGGAGGCTGACCTGGAATCTGAATATACTGGCTATATGACCCTGGCCAAGTCACTTAGCCTTTCACTGCTCTAGACAACTCTCTAAGCATTTTACACTCATTCTACAATTCTATCCATGTAAGTTCCAGTTTACTGAATGATAATGGTAAACCCTTCAATTAGATGTAAAGTCAGAATTGTAAATGCATACAAAAGGCAAGAACAGATGAAAGTTCTCTCTTCACTGGTAGTTTGCAAGTGAGGAATCATTGTAAGCCTCCAGATAGAGAATGAGAAAGCAGTGCTGGCTGCCTTATCTCCCTACCCAGCTAAAATATAGCTCTGAATACATAGCGCTGTTCTTCTACCTCTGTTGTGTTTCTTTCCCGATCTTAGAGGAATGGATATCAGAGAAGAAATGGAATAGGTTATGACCTTGCGAGCTTCAAAAGCTTAGAAGAGCCATCAGAAGTCCAGGAACCGGAGTCCACAGCAGAGACTTTGCTGCCAGCCTAGTCCAGTGAGAAGGCAGTTCTCAGGAATTATCTGTTTGCCCCATCCCAGGAATGAATTGACTCAGCTGATGAGACACCATGTCCAACAATCTAAGGAGCAATTTATCCATCAACTATATTGAATCTACTTTGTTAAAACGTGAACACAATTGGAGAAATGTTCTTAGCAGCTTCTTTAAGTCTGAACCCACTCCTGGGTTCTGAGGTGGTTGATGAAATTGGGCTCTCAGTTTCAGAGGTTTTTAAATTTGGGTTCTTGCAATATCTTCTCAATAAACATCCATTAGTAAAAGCAAATGATGTTAATTGTTAATCATTGATATCAAAGAGATAACTGGTTGATATTGTGACAGTAAGTAATGATTGAGTGACATTGGAGAGCTATTAATCATCAAGGGGAAATATACCATATAGGAGTTTGTGAGTGCTAGTATTGAAACATAACCCACAACCTCCACGGATCCCCTATGTCCCTGAGGGAAGAAGCCCTGCCCTAGGCACCCAACCTGCCAGTAAGAATGGAAGTGGGGTTGACGATGTCCAGGGTGTGTGTGTGTGTGTGGTTGTGTGTGTGTGTAAACTTTTGTAAAGCACATACTACATACAAGGTACTCTGCTAGGTATTAGGGGTATAGCAAGAAAAATGAAACAGTTCCTGACCTTAAAGGAAATTACATTTCTGCTAAGGCAGCAATTCTCCTCCCTCCCTGAGGATTCATGAGAGCCTTTCAGAGAGTCCTTGAAGTCAAAGCTATAATAATAATAATAAGATATAATTTGCCTTTTAAATATTCCTCCCAGTTCCAGCTACACTATTTGTGAAGCCATATTTTCCTCATATACTTCAATCAAAATAACATATTGCAACAGATTGAATACAGAAACAGATATGAGAACCCAGCTGTCTCTATTAAGCCAGATATTAAAGACAATTATAAAAATATATATAACAATGCTATTCTAATTTTTTTTAGAAAATACAGTCCCTTTTTATAAAAATATGTTATTTGTGTTCATATAATGGATTTATTATTGTTATTTTAAATGAATTAATATTTTTAAAATTCATCCATTTTAACTCCTAATATGACAAATATGGTTAGACATAACTCATGTAAACAAAAGCTCTTTGGGGACCTCAATAATTCTTAAGGGTGTGAAAGACCGAAGACCAAAAAGTTTGAGAACCACTGTACCAAGGGATAAAACATGAGGCAACATAGTGCAGTGGGACGAATAATGGATCTGGAATTTAAAGACCTGGGTTCAAGTCCCAGATCTCCCACTTAATACCTATATTACCTTGGCCAAGTCACTTACTCTCATCTGTAAAAATGAAGGGATCATCAGCTAGATGATCTCTAAGGCTCCTTCCAGCTCTAAATGTGTTATCCTGTGTACAAAGATAAATAAATATAGTGTAATTTTGAGGAAAGATCACTAACTAGAATGATCAGGAAAAGCTTACCTGGGCTAAATCTTCAAATAATAAGAATTCTGAAAGTTGTAGATAAGGAGGGAGTGTATTTCAAGCGTAGAAGACTTCTTGGCGTGACTGCAAAGAGGCAAAAAGAGTCAGCAAAGGGAAAGAGAAAGAGGGTGGTATAGGGAGGAGGGGCAGCAGTGAGAGGATAGACATGATTTCATTGGTATAGAGAACTCTTCGGTGAGGTTGAAGCTGGTTGGCACCTCATCTACAACTTACAGTCTTGGAGACTTAGAGACCCCTTTCTCCTCTTGGTGAGTTCCTTCTGAGACCTCCATTTTTTAAAAATTTATTTTTATTTTTTTAGGCAATTGGGGTTAAGTGACTTGTCAAGTGTTTGGTCTGAGGCCGGATTTGAACTCAGGTCCTCCTGACTTCAGGACCACTGCTCTATCCATTGCGCCACCTAGCTGCCCCTAGGACCTCCATTTTGTGGAGGGGCCCAGGACACTTAACCTTCATCCATGTTGTGGCTCTTTTCCTGATATTCTGGACTTTGCCACTATTCTTCAGCTGCTGTCTTATCCTGGGACATCTCTTTGCTAGCCAGCTATTTCCCATTGGTGAATTCCTTCCAGCACCTCCATTTTGTGGAGGGACTCAGACTGGACAATATTCCTTCCTTCCCAGGTGTGGTTTTAGCTTTCTGGATTTCAACACCATGGCCCCATGTAAATACCTTATCCTAATTCTGCCTTCTTCTTTAAGGGATCCTGCTTCCTGGTTTGTTTGTTTTTGGCTCCCTTTTATAGATTATCTTCCTTGGTTAGAATATAAGCTCCTTGAAGGGAGGAACTTTTTGTTTTTGCTTGTATTTGTATCCATAGCATTTAGCTCAGTGCCTGGCACATAGCACAAGCTTAATAAATGCTTTAGTGCTTAGAGAACAGTCTAGAGCATGAGAGGTTAAGCCCAGGGTCTTATAGCAGTGTGTGTCAGAAGTGGAACTTGAATCCAGGCATCTTACCTCTATACAACTTTTGTTTTGTTTTCTAAAGCGACAATGTTTAACATCCAAGGGCACTGATATATCTTGGGGGTTTGTGTCATCAATTCATTCTTGGTGAAAGGTGGGTGTTATTTTCTACTGTGTGATTCATAGGAGAAGGTAGCAAACCTTGTTTGCCTCAGTTCTTCATCTGTAAAATGAAGTGCAGAAGGAAATGGCAAACCACTCCAGTATCTTTGCCAAGAAAATCCCAAAATGGAGCCATGACACAACTGAAATGAATGAACAATAACAACAAACATCGTTCTCTGAGGCCACTTTCTTTTTTTTTTAGGCTAGGCAATGGGGTTAAGTGACTTGCCCAGGGTCACACAGCTAGTAAGTGTTATGTGTCTGAGGCTGGATTTGAACTCAGGACCTCCTGAATCCAGGGCTGGTGCTTTATCCACTGAGCCATCTAGCTGCCCCCTGAGGCCAACTTTCTAACCGTTACAAATTGCTTCTCATAAAGAGGTACATGCACATGGAAAAAGAGAAACAAAGGGATATGGATAGACTTGGGTGGAATAACATTCTCATCTTTTAGAAATTCAGCCAAGAACCAGATCTAGACTATTAGATAGAGCTTATACCCCTCAATGCGATGTAACCATTTATGTTAATATCATCTTCTACCCCACCACCCACCATACTCCAGAAGAAGGAGCCTATCCTTGTCCAGGATGGTAGGTCAGAGAAAGCATAGAGAAGTCCAGAGCAAAGAGTAAAGGATACTGAGGTCTCTGGTACCGCAAAGAAAGTGAGCAGTTCTTGTCCCAGTCGGAATGGAGATGAGCCAGAACATAAATTTTCCTTGACTACAATTTCACAGATATAAAATCAGCTTTAGAGATCATTACTCATCTCAATCACTACAGAAATTTTCCTCTTTCCATTTTGCCCACTCACTTAGAAAAAGCATGTCTTTTTTTCTGGCAAGATCATTCTCAAGTTGGTATTTGTCTGTCTTCTCAATATCAGACTGGCATTTTACTTATTTAGCAATTAAAAGTCTATCCTAAAAACTAAGAATGAGGGAACAATGAAGTTTTAAAATATATTTTATCCCCCTGCTATGTAGATTTTAAGGTCTTGGGTTTAGAGCTAGAAGAGGGCTTAGCAACAATCTTGTCATCTCCCCTCATTTTACTGAGGAGTCAGGGGCCCAGAGACATTAAATAATTATTTCAAGGTCACACAGATAGCAAATAACAGATCCAAGATTTCAAGGCAGGTCTTCTGACTCCAAAATCAGAACTCATTCTACAGGGTCATCCCAACCTGTTGCTTGAAGAAGAACAGCCTGTATTCAATGAATATTTTGCTTCATCCAGAATGAAAGCTGGGCTAAACTTTCTGGGGAAAACAAACCTTTGAGGCTTGTTCTTTCATACTAACAAAAAACCAAAATCCAGCTTTACTCAGGTCATCATGTCAGTTCCAGAGAGCAACCTAGGTTGGGTCCAGCTCTATTGGATTTGAACTCAGAGGACCTGGGTTTAATCTTAGTTATGCCAAGTGTGACCACTTGGGCAAGTTATTTAACTTCTTTGAGCCCTAGTTTCCCAATCTGTACATGAAGAAATTGGATTAAATAACTTCTAAAATTCTTTTCAACTCATAAGCTATAATCTTTTGCTCCCAAATTTCTTTCAAGGAGCTGATTCTGAATGTTACTCCCACCATTAATTTCAAGTGGTAGACATTTCTATGTTTTTTTTTTGTTTGTATCCTGATGTATCTCCTACCCATATTTGGGGGGATCGATGTTTGAACTTGTGATTTCATGAATGTGGAGAACTCCCAGCATGGAATCTCCTTCCACTGATGCAGAGCAGTAATTTATAAGGTAAAACCTTAGAAATGGTGTGACCTCTCTCTATCAGAAAGAGTTAGGTAAACAATAATGAGCCATTCACACTTAGAATGAATAAAGACAGACCAAATACAACTTGGTTCAATTCAACAAGCACATTAAATGCTTGCTACCTTTAAGGGTCTGTGCTAGGCATTGGAGCTTCAGACAAAACGAAAATACAGTTCCTGCCTTAAAGGAGATTAGATTCTACTAGGAGGGCAACGACATTTACACAAATACCATATAGAAGCAAATACCATATAAATTGGAGAGAGACAACTCAAACAAGGCTCTCTGTAGGAAATGCCATCTGAAATGAACCTTGAAGGAAGCTAAGAATTCTATGAAGAGAAAGTGAAGAAGCAGTGAATTCCATGGATATGAGCCAGCAAAGTAGAGGAGGAGGGAGATGGAACGCTAAGCTTAAGGAACCACAATGAATCTAATTTGGCTAGAATCTAGAGTGAATGAAGAAGAGTAGTATGAAATAATATGAAAAAGGCTGAGCCAGACTGAGAAAACTTTGAACACCAAGCTAAGAAGTCTGTACTTTGTCTTAAAGGTAACAGGGAGCCATGAAAACTTATTGACAAAGGGACTGGCCTGGCCTAACCCATGCTTTAGGAATTTTGTTAACTGTGTGGAAGAGGGATTGGAGAGAGGAGACTCTTGAATCAAGGAGTCCAAATAGGCAATCCTGACCATGAAATGGCCTGTGATCTAAAAGTTTGTGTCGAGGACAGGCCTGCACAACATGAAACTGAAGGATTTCCGGTGACCCATGAAAAATGTAGAGGATGTAAAAGAAAGTAAAGCTGTAACAAGTACTATATTGGTGCCCTGTTTAACCTGACTTCCACTAGTCACTATTGTGCCCATTATGTAACCTGGCAGGTGGGTTGCCAATACCCACTCTCTCCCTTTTGTTACGTGA